ATAAATTCTAGCTGCTTCAAATCAAGCAGGAGAAAGCTGCTAGGCCCACATGTGAGAGAATGGGTCTGTGTGGTCACTGTGCACCACATAAAAAATCCTGCAGCACGCAGTGCATAATGAGAAAAAAACTCCGACCGTGGTTTTTTTTTTTCCATTAAAATGCAGAATTTATGGTCCATTTTCGTATAGTATTTATGGTTGTATTCTCGTTTTCTTTCTTGTTTGATAGAATGGAAAAATATTATAGAAATAGAGGTGATTTTGGTTGGTTTTACTATGAAAAGAACCTTGAAATGGAGCTCAAAGTAGGGGAAATGTTTGATTATTGCCAATGTTTGGAAGTAGAAAAATTGTCATTTTCCAATAAATGTCCAAGTAGCCATTCTAATATGCATTCATGAATGGGTTGACATTATTTATACAGTTATTGCAATATTGCAGTAGTCTGCATAACAGTAAATCTTTTATTTTTTTGTTTGAATAAAAATTCAAAATAAAAAGCAAGAGTAATATCAGAGGGGCCTTGAGACATGACTGATAAACATAGAAAATGTTACTTTAGAGCCAGGAATAACTGCATTGTTCATTCTGGACCCTATTTTGAAATTGTCATATTTTTTAATTTTCGTGAAATTAGCCAAATTGCAAATTTCTGACCACATTATTGGGTAGTTGAAATCAGTAAATGGGCAGTTACTTGCACTCTATCGATGAAAAAATGGAGTTATAAAGAAATAGCTGTGAGTTTGGTTGACTGGAACAAAGGAATTGGCTGAAAATAGGGCTCAAAGTGGGCAAAATTGCAGATTCATAAATATTGCCGACGTCGCTAAATTTATGAGAGCATAATTCTGTCAGTTTTCCATCAAATTTCGTTCTTTTGGTCTCATTACGATCGGGAAAAGATTCTCTTATTTCATAAGAAAAAATAATTTTTTATAATTTTTTGGAAATTTTGCAACTCGAGGAGACACCTCAGGATTTGGGGTTGCAACAGTCAAGGGGTGAAAGTGCAGGTATTGTACTTCCCATTTCCAGGACTTGAGTCCGGCTGTATAAAAACAACCAGTTTCCCTGAATCCCTTCACTAAATATTACCCTGCTCACACTCCAACATCTCGTCAGGTCCCAAATACCATTCGTCTCCATTTACTCCTATGTAACACGCTCACCCGTGCTTGCTGGAAGTCCAAGCCCCTCGCCAACAAAACCTCTTTTACCCCGTCTCTCCAACCTTTTCAAGGACAACCCCTACCCTGCCTTCCTTCCCCTACAGATTTATATGCTCTCCATGTTATTATACTTTGATCCATTCTCTCTAAATGACCAAACCACATCAACAAAATCTCTTCTGCCCTCTAAATTTTATTAACTCCACACCTTCTTTTAATTTCCACACTCCTAATTTTCTGCATAATATTTACACCACACATTGCCCTTATACAGGACATCTCCACTGCCTCCAACCACCTCCTCGCTGCCACATTTACAACACAAGCTTCACACCCATATAAGAGTGTTGGTACTACTATACTTTCATACATTCTCTTCTTTGCCTCCATAGATAACGTTTGTCTCGACATATACCTCAACGCACCACTCGCCTTTTTGCCGTCATCAATTCTATGATTAACCTCGTCCTTCATAAATCCATCCGCTGACACTTCAACTCAGAAATATCTGAAAACATTCACTTTTTCCATACTCCTCCCCAATTTGATATCCAATTTTTCTTTATCTAAATCATTTGATACCCTCATCACCTTACTCTTTTCTATGTTCACTTTCAACTTTCTTCCTTTACACACACACCCAAATTCGTCCACTAACCTTTGCCGTTTTTCTTTAGAATCTCCCATAAGCACAGTATCATCAGCAAAAAGTAACTGTGTCAATTCCCATTTTGTATTTGATTCCCCAAAATTTAATCCCACCCCTCTCCCAAACACCCTAGCATTTACTTCTTTTATAACCCCATCTATAAATATATTAAACAACCATGGTGACATCACACATCCCTGTCTAAGACCTACTTTTACTGGGAAGTAGTCTCCCTCTCTTCTACACACCCTAACCTGAGCCTCGCTATCCTCATAAAAACTCTTTACAGCATTTAGCAACTTACCACCTATTCCATATACTTGCAACATCTGCCACATTGCTCCCTTATCCACTCTTTCATATGCCTGTTCTAAATCCATAAATGCAATAAAAACTTCCCTACCTTTATCTAAATACTGTTCACATATATACTTCAATGTAAACACTTGATCTACACATCCCCTACTCTGAAACAACCTTGCTCATCTGCAATCCTACATTCTGTCTTACCTCTAATTCTTTCAGTTATGACCCTACCGTACACTTTTCCAGGTATACTCAGTAAACTTATTCCTCTATAATTTTTACTATCTCTTTTGTCCCCCTTTCCTTTATATAAAGGGACTATACATGCTCTCTGCCAGTCCCTAGGTACCTTCCCCTCTTTCATACATTTATTTAACAAAAGTACCAACCACTCCAACATTATATCCCCCCCTGCTTTTAACATTTCTGTCATGATCCCATCAGTTCCAGCTACTTTACCCCCTTTCATTCTACGTAATGCCTCATGTACCTCCCCCACACTTACATTCTGCTCTTCTTCACTCCTAAAAGATGATATACCTCCCTGGCCAGTGGATGAAATTACTGCCTCCCTTTCTTCCTCAACATTTAAAAGTTCCTCAAAATATTCTCACCATCTACCTAATACCTCCCTCTCCCCATCTACTAACTCCCTTACTCTGTTTTTAACTGACAAAACCATACGTTCCCTAGGCTTTCTTAACTTGTTTAACTCGTTCCAAAATTTTTTCTTAAAAGAAATTAAAATTTCTTGACTGCGCCTCTCCCACTCCATCATCTGCTCTCCTTTTCCACTCTCACCACTCTCTTCACCTTTCTTTTACTCTCCATATACTCTGCTCTTCTTATAACACTTCTGGTAAAAACCTCTCATAAGCTAACTTTTTCTTTATCACACCCTTTACTTCATCATTCCACCAATCCCTCCTCTCTCCTCCTGCCCCCACCCTCCTATAACCAAACTTCTGTCCCACATTCTAATACTGCATTTTTAAAACTCGTCCAACCCTCTTCAACCCCCCCCCCCCCCACTACTCATCTTTGCACTAGCCCACCTTTCTGCCAATAATCACTTATATCTCAACCGAACTTCCTCCTCCCTTAGTTTATACACTTTCACTTCCCTCCTACTTGTTGTTGCCACCTTCCTCTTGTCCCATCTATCTCTTATTCTAACTGTATCTACAACTAAATAATGATCCGATATATCAGTTGCCCCTCTATAAACATGTACATCCTGGAGCCTACCCATCAACCTTTTATCCACCAATACATGATCTAATAAACTACTTTCATTACGTGCTACATCATACCTTGTATATTTATTTATCCTCTTTTTCATAAAATATGTATTATTACCAAATCTCTTTCTACACATAGCTCAATTAAAGGCTCCCCATTTCCATTTACCCCTGGCACCCCAAATTTACCTACTACTCCCTCCACAACATTTTTACCCACTTTAGCATTGAAATCCCCAACCACAAGTAGTCTCACACTTGGTTCAAAACTCCCCACGCATTCACTCAACATTTCCCAAAATCTCTCTCTCCTCTACACTTCTCTCTTCTCCAGGTGCATATACGCTTACCACAACCCACTTTTCACATCCAACCTTTATTTTACTCCACATAATCCTAGAATTAATACATTTATAGTCCCTCATTTCCTGCCATATCTTATCCTTCAACATTATTGCTACTCCTTCTTTAGCTCTAACTCTATTTGAAACCCCTGACCTAATCTCATTTATTCCTCTCCACTGAAACTCTCCCCCCCCCCCCTGCCCCCCTACCTTTGTTTCACTTAAAGCCAGGACATCCAGCTTCTTTTTTTCTTCTTTTTTTTTCTTCTTTTTTTTTTTTTTCTATTTTCTTTTTCTTATTTTTTTTTTTCTTTTTTCTTTTTTCTTTTTTTCTTTTTTTTTTTTCTTTTTTCTTTTTCTATTTTTCTTTTCTTTTTCTATTTTTTTTCTTTTCTTTTTTTCTTTTTCTTTTTTTTCTTTTTTCCTTTTTTTTTTCCTTTTTCTTTTTTCCCTTTTCTTTTTTTTTTCTTTTTTTTTCTTTTTTTCTGTTTTCTTTTTTTTTTCTTTAATAACTTGACAGCAAGCATCTGTATGATTGATCACCCAGTTTAGTGCGAGACCTCTTCTATTATTGTATTGGTCACAGCCAGCCTCAAATCCAGGTGTAAATTGCTGTACATCACTTCTTCAACCATTGCCTCGTTATGCAGCACGTTGGGCCACATCCATATATATGTATGTCAATATGAATTATTAGGCCTAGTGGTCAGGCCCTACAGCCAAGCAAGGTGTTAAAGATTTGAAATGACAGTTGTATGGTTCTTCTCTTTCATTAAAAATCATCACTAAGAATTTTAAATTGAAGATAGGATTTGTATGTCTTGCCTGTAGCACCCTGCTTTCAGGCATTCCTGCCCTTCTTCTGTAACTGGTGCTATTGACTTCATTTTTGGGGGGGAAGTGGACTCTTTGATGCTTCCCCCCTTTTTAATCTTTTTTGTACTCCAAATCCTTTTTAAGCATTCACTTCAGGTACTTTATGGTACTTCAGTATTCAGTATGGTAAAACTTCCTACTTCCACTACTATTGCCACCTCTTTCACTTCTGCCTCTTTCACTGCTACTGCTTCCATTTCAATTTGTTCAACTATTAAAGTTGACAACCACAGAGTAATTTGAGGATATTTTGTACTAGGTACATTACTATATTTTGTGCTGTATAATGACTGTTTACAATACATTGACTAACCCCTTGTCTTGCTAGTAATTGGTATGCATGCTTAAGCATAATTTGTTGCTTAATTATTTTTTAAGAGCAAACATTGTAACAGAATTTCCATTATTCCAGTTTACAGCGAATAAAGCAGGAAAAACGTCAAAAGGATGCACAACGTAAACAAAAAGTAACTGAAAACCGGAAGCATTTGGCTAATGTTCGTGTTGTGCAGAAAAATCTTGTGTTTGTGGTTGGCCTCTCTACACGGTTAGCTGATGCAGAGGTGAGTTACATTCTGTAAACATTTCAGCTGTGTAGCCCTTGTGGCTTAGTGCTTCTTTTTGGTTATAAATGTAAACATTTCATTGGTAGTTAGGAAGACCAAACAAAATGTTTGATCAGAAATTTGAAGTAGGTTGGACAGATGTGGAAACAGCACTTTGAACCAGTTGGCCTCCATCACTATTTTAGTTTAAAGTTGCATCATGTACATTAGTTCTCTGGCTCTGTGTGTGTGTGTGTGTGTGTGTGTGTGTGTGTGTGTGTGTGTGTGTGTGTGTGTGTGCGTGTGTGTGTGTGCAGGGGGAGGGGAGAATTGTATGTGACAATGAATTAGTTGATCTATGTGGCTATAAATTAACATCCACATTCCTCCAGTTCCATCATAGAAGTACTAGTGATTTGGATGTGCTTCTAGTTTGTTATAGACTGGCCCATTGTTTTCATGATTTGTTGAAAAAGGGGTCCAAGCAGTCATTACTCAAACTGTAGTTTCGCATCTCGTCTCGCTCTTTTTGGGGAGGAGTTGTGGCTATCTGATTGGTTGCTTGAGGCAGTTTCAACTTTTTCAAATGTTCACTTTGGGCTCTGGAATATTTCATGATGTGGGCCCCAAATGGGGCCTTGGACACTAAGGGGTTGAGGCGTGATGTCATGCACGTTGGTTGCATACCCCGTGTCTTGTGCTGTAAACTTGTATATAGAAAAACATCTGTGTTTTATGTACCAGCAGGAGAGTTTTAGTAATGCAGTGGGGATCATGATGAGAGTATGATGCTTTATTGAAAGAGCATGGTCATTATAGTCAATTATAGCTGAGATTATAAGAAGCCATCTCGATAAGCATAGCTTGATTAATGATACTCGGTCTTGTCTAACTAATTTATTAACTTTCTTCAGTAAAGCTTTTGAGGCTGTTGACCACAATAAAGAATTTGATATTATTTACTTAGATTTTAGTAAGGCTTTTGATAGAGTTCTGCACCATAGACTGTTAAAGAAAGTGGCAGCTCATGGCATTGGGGGAAAAGTGCTCTCGTGGATCGAGTCATGGCTCACTGACAGGAAGCAGAGAGTGTCCATAAATGGGGTTAAATCCGACTGGGATCTGTAACAAGTGGCGTTCCACAGGGATCAGTCTTGGGCCCGTTGTTGTTTATAATATATATCAATGATCTTGATGAGGGAATTACTAGTGATATGAGCAAATTCGCCGACGACACAAAGATAGGTAGGATAATTGATTCAAACGTAGATGTTATGGCACTTCAGGAGGATTTAAACAAACTCTATTCTTGGTCAGAAAAGTGGCAGATGCAGTTCAATGTAGATAAATGCAAGGTTCTGAAGCTTGGGAGTGCCCATAACCCTAGTAACTTATAAGTTAAATGATGTAGAACTTAGCCATACAGATTGCGAAAAGGACTTGGGGGTTATGGTGAGCAGCAACCTTAAACCAAGACAGCAATGCCTAAGCGTACGTAATAAGGCAAATAGATTACTGGGATTTATATCAAGAAGTGTAAGCAACAGAAGTCCAGAGGTCATACTGCAGCTTTATACATCATTAGTAAGGCCTCACCTAGATTATGCAGCTCAGTTCTGGTCTCCGTATTACAAAATGGACATAAATTCGTTAGAAAACATTCAGCGTAGGATGACTAAATTAATACATAGCATTAGAAATCTTCCTTATGAAGAAAGATTGAAGACTTAAGTTACCTTCACTTGTTAGACGAAGAATGAGGGGAGACCTGATCGAAGTGTATAAGTGGAAGATAGGTATTAATAAAGGGGATATTAATAAGGTCTTGAGGATGTCTCTCCAAGAGAACCTGCAGTAATGGATTTAAATTAGATAAGTTTAGATTTAGAAAGGACATAGGAAAGTATTGGTTTGGAAATAGGGTAGTTGATGAGTGGAACAGTCTACCTAGTTGGGTTATTGAGGCTGGGACTTTGGGTAGTTTCAAATCTAGGTTGGATAAGTACACGAGTGGGAGGGGTTGGATTTGAGTGGGACTTTCACATCAGAGCTTATTTCTTGGGTGGCATTGAAAATTGGGTTGGGCAAATGTTTTGTTAGTGGGATGAATTGTAAAGGACCTGCCTAATATGGGCCAGCAGGCCTCCTGCATAACATTTTTACCCACTTTAGCATTGAAATCCCCAACCACCATTACTCACACTTGATTCAAAACTCCCCACGCATTCACTCAACATTTCCCAAAATCTCTCTCTCTCCTCTACACTTCTCTCTTCTCCAGGTGCATACACGCTTATTATAACCCACTTTTCACATCCAATCTTTATTTTACTCCACATAATCCTTGAATTAATACATTTATAGTCCCTCTTTTCCTGCCATAGCTTATCCTTCAACATTATTGCAACTCCTTCTTATGTTCTTATGTTATATAATATGATCTCCACTGCTTACAAACCAGGTATCCAGTTGCTAAAAAATGAAAAATGACTGTACCTGGAGGTTGAGACAATGCATCTTGGATTATTGGTATAACTCGTTTAGTTTTTGAAATGTCAAGACCTTTAGGTTCATGAAGTTCCAGTTATATATCTATAGGATACTCTTTGGCTTAAGAAAGGGGTAAGAAATTCTTAGTTTAAAAATATTAACTTGGAGTAAAGGTGCCTAATCTTTAAGCTTTTAATGTACTTTTTATCTGTTTCAAAAAATTAGAGATATCTAATGAGAAAATGAGCAAAAACACATTTAGCATAGAAAACTTAATATAGTACTTCTCAGACTGGGGGCTGTATCAAGTACAGTAAAGCCCCCCAGTGGATGAAATGATATTAATAAAGAATTTGTTGATAATTGCCTTTACCACATGGTTTTTAGCATGTCTTGTTAACTGAGAATACTTAATGGAATTCTGAGTCTCCAAGTACCTTACCCTCATGTGCTAGGGTAGTCTGATTTGCTGTAAATAAATTTGCTGAACTTTCTCTTGTAATGTATTCCCTGCTCATAGCAAATGTGCTCATGAAATAAAGAAGAGCCAGAGGTAAATGCAGGAAAAGTGTATGAAGCAGTGGGTGGAATAAAAGTGGTAAAATAGTGTGAGATTGACTTGAGATGTAGTTTTGGGGCAGTTGGGTATTTTGTTCAATATATAGTAGAACCCCCATACTACTGATTTGGTATCTGCAGTTTGTTATCCAGGGAAATGTTTGTGGCCCAAAAATATCTAATTTTACATAAGGCCCCCCAAAGTCAAAAGTAAGAGAAGCGGGTAGTTCTTCAAAGCCAAAAGAGAAGCCATGAAGTGCTTCTCATCAATGAAATGATAATTCTCCACTTACTGTGTATAATTTATAAAAACTTTATAATAGGTATGTATAGACTTAAATATGGGGTTTTGCACTACGCAGTTTCATTTATCCATGGCAGTATCAAGGAGGCCTTAAAAAGGGTAGGGGAGTGTAGATAAATTTTAACATTGAGCCCATAAAAGTGAAAAATACTTTTTAATAGGGTTAGGACCTGTGTGTGACATTGATTTAGAAAAAGGCATATAGTAGGTAGATAGGGGTAGTAATGTGCAGTGTTGCAAATGTATAAATAGTAAGTTACTAATAGGAATAAAACTTTTTGTTTGGAATTTTGACTCGGGTTTTGGGGATGCAAGGACCATTTTACCAGTAAAAGTGGGCTATAGACAAGGATTTTTGATATTACCATAGTTAACATATTTGTGATGGGGTTGTAAAACATGAAATTCTAGTGTTGGACAGGTGCGAGATTATAAGATAACGAGTCTCATAGAAAGTGAGAGTTGCACAGTTGCATTTTGCCAATAAAAACCTTTTCAGAAAATCTGAAGAGAAGTTGAGTGGGTGGGTGGGTTTGGATGTGAAAAGGAGGAAATTACAAGTGAACAGGATGAGAGTAATTAGGAGACTAGTCAATGAAAGAATTGGATATCAGATTTGAGGGATGGTGCATGGAGGAAGTGAATGTAATTTAGACATTCGGGGGTGAATATGTCCCGAACATGAATCCCTGTCAATTAAAGTATATTTCAGCTACATATTTAAAAGTCCTTTTTAGTAATTGAAATTCTCTTTCTTTCCAGACATTAAAGAAACCAGAATACTTTGGAAAATTTGGAAAAATACATAAAGTTGTTATTAATCATAGCACTAGTTATGCTGGGGCTCAGGTAAGCATTGCCTTTAAAAGGTTGAAGAATGTTAAGTAATAAAGTTCAGATTAATGTGAAATGTGGATGTGTGAACAAAACCACATGTTACATTTTTAAATTCACTGTATTAATAAATGTTTCCATGTAGTTTTTAAATAAGAAATAGTGCTAGTTTTTTCACATGAATAAACCTTTTTAAATACATTGCTAGGGTCCAAGTGCATCAGCATACGTGACTTACCAGAGAGCGGAGGATGCACTTAGAGCCATTCAAGCGGTAAATAACATTCATGTAGATGGGCGGACATTGAAGGCCTCCTTGGGAACCACCAAGTATTGCTCCCACTTCATGAAGAACCAGCAGTGTCCCAAACCTGACTGCATGTATCTTCATGAATTAGGTAAAATGAAAACTTGCACTCCATTGTTAGAAAGTAGTGGGAGGTAAAAATACAACTGGCTGCTTCTGTTATTTGAGATTTAGAAAAATAAGTGTTATTTACTATATGCTCATTGTTGAAATATATAATTATAAAAAAAAATATTATACTGACTTTGGTGAAAGATTGTTAAACCCTTTTTCCTTCACG